CGAGCTTTCTGGTTGCACGTGGGTGTCAAGTGGCTGTCAAGTGACGCTTTTGTTCACTTTGTTGGTGGTACGCTTCAAGGTTCGAGAATCCTAACGATGTAATGAACACAGCACGTAGCTGGATAGTTGAGCTGGCTGACTTTGGGTGTGCTGCTCTGTGCTGCCTTTTGAGCCAGGTTGTCATCACAGTCCTGCTTAGCTGTATGAGAACTTGGATTGGCACTCTTGACCCAAAGAATTCATGGCTTTGGCGCAGCCACGGATGAAAGATTCGGTCCCGCAAAGCAAGTCTACCGCACCAAATTTACGCAGGTTCCCGCAGAACATATCCTCAAGTAAGACTTTGAGAGGTCATCAGGACTTGTGTGTATGTAACGATTCCGCAAGGTTAGATACACTCAGCTGCCAACAAAGAGCCATGTGCGCAAACGGCGAGCTCGGATTTTTGTTGGGCAGTGCCCTGGCCAATGGAACTCAATCACTCAAGAGAATCTCAACGACTGAAAAGTGACCTTTTCCGTGGATTGCCTTTTTTCTGCTTTCGAGAAGGATTCCAAACTGCGTTTCGATACGTTTTTGATTCTTGAGGGGCGGTCAGTGGTGGCCGGTGGTCCCCCATTGAGGTTACCCAATGAGTTTCGTATGTCATTGAGGTTAAGCCTATGTATCCTCGGTGGCTTCTGGCTGGTTGCGTAGTGCTTTTAGTTCAAGCTGATGGGAAGCCAGGCGTGCTGGGCGACGAGGGTTTCAATATTGGCTTTCCTGCTCGACTGAGCATGTCCAGGGCTAGAGGTTGAAGCTGCTCTGAAAGTCACGTGTTGCAGCTTTCCAGATCGATCCATGTGAGGCTTACGTGCAGGAACTTCTTCGAGATCCAAGCAGCCAGATGTCCTAGGTGCCTCGCCCATGCTTGCGCGCTCGCTGCGTCCAGAACTCCACTTTCGAATGCTCATCATATATTTCATCCATTTTCGCAGGACTAAGCAGGAAGCTGATGTTTCATTGATCGATTTGTAGGTGACTCGATGAAGCAGATGACTTGATGATTTTTTTGAACTTTTGGAGATTGTTTGAGTTCCTGACATGTCCACATCTCCACATCCCTTTCCAGATCTCCCGCGGAACGACAGTGGCATCCCGAGTCTCCAAGGATGCTTGCAGAGGTACCTGTGAGGGCAGATTGGACGCAGATAGAATTGGAGACATAGTTGTCTGACATGACATAGGTCACACGCAAACCATTGCATATCCAGGATTTGAAGCTTTGATGTTGCCTTTTGTTGCGAAGAATTGTAACCATTTCCATCGGAATGGGTTGGTTAAAGTACCTGCCTGCCATTGAAGGGAGTAAGTAGTCTTTGCATCGTCTGACAGAGGTTGACTTCCTTTAAACATCTTTTTGATACTGGCGCATTCACTGTGACATCAGGGCTTGGATGGACGAGGTTGTCGAAACTTGACTTCACGCATTGAAGAGCCATGCGGTTTCCGACGCGACTGTCCGCTTGCCGAACTCCAGGCTCTCGAGCGAGTACTACAGCACCTACCCAGTGGGCGCTCCTCGTGGAGCTCTACCGCTCCCGGCTCCGGGTGGAAGGTGGGCGAAGCGTCGGGCCGCAGACAGCAGCGGGATTCCTTTGAGGCCATCCGACAGACACCGTCGGAAAACGTTGAACCTCTTCACGCGGAGGGTGTCTGTTTTCCGACGCCGCGGGGTTAAGACGGGGTTTCTAAGTAGGGAAAAAAGGAACAACGAATCATGAACGGACCTGCTGGCAAATCATGATTCGATCCCTCCTTTGCGACCATGCAGTATATGGAGGTTATGTCAGAAATGCTTGTTTATCCGTAGGCACCTCCAGCATTTCTAATCTTGCGGGCAGCCTAAAAGAAGGGGCAACGAATCATGAACGGAGATGCTGGCAAATCATGATTCGATCCCTGCTTTTCGGGAGTGCGCTATGCTCATTAAGTAAGTTTCTACGTAAGTAAGTAAGTAAGTAAGTAAACCCGGTAAGAAGCTATTAGGCAAGCCAATAAGAAGCTACTAGATGAAAAACTAAGTTTCCTAAAAATCCATGAGTCCAACAGATAGTGCGAACGCAGCTTCAAAGAAACGAGCTTCGTGCAAGAATCGTGACCTATTTGGCGTCCGAGCAAGCGAGCAAGCTTTTTAGTAGCATGTAGCGAATGCATCCAGTCCTTACTAAATGCATCCAGGCTTAGTTAATAAGTAAGAGGTCGGGCAAAGCAATAAGAAGCTATTGGGTGGCACACAGAAGAAGCCTTCGCATGATCGATTTGTATTTTTGCGAAAGCTCAGCCTTCCGTAGGCGCTTCCGAGTGTGTGTTGTAGGCACGCCAGTCAATTACTTAGAGTGGCGCACCACTGATATACGCATTGCTTGCTTTCTTTTCTTGAGACCTGTAGATCTCTCTTTCTTCTTTACATGACACTCTTCAGACCTGGTCTTCTCCTGCACTCACTCTTCCCAGAGACAAGAAGATTCATGCCGGGGTACAGACTGATGAGGTAGAGGTATGATTGAAAGATCAATCTGGCCACCTTCATCAAGAGGAACGCAATGACAAACTACGGAGGAAAAGCGGGCCAGGCATTTATACTCTTTTTCTCTACGCAAAAGGCCGAACATCTAGAAACCTATATGCGACTCGAGGTGTGCTCGCGGGTTCTCACTAGAGCCTCGCAAGTTCTCTCTTCAAGGCACACATTTTTTAGTCGTGGACAGGCCATGGCCCGTTCTGCCCAAGAGGAGGCAGGAGAATACATCGGAAAAAATATACGGCTAGACAACAGATCTCAATACATAGTTCTTCGAGCTTTCCCTCAGATGCTTGAGTGCTATGTAGCGCTTGGATTCTTTGAGAGTCAGGTTGCAGGCCTGTGAGATCCAGCTTCGAGGTTTGTAAGTGGAAATGCCTTTTTTCTGCTCCCCGCTTGGTTGGGTAGAGTAGTACATAAATGTACACAAGCCATGACAATGGGGGCGGATTAAATCTGTGGAGCCAAGGAAGATGCAGTGCAGAACTCTGTAACAAAAAGGTGATTGGCTTTGGATTACAATTCTGACCACTGAATGTCCAGTTCCGGCCAGGATGCGAATTGGCACGGGAGAGCTCACTTTGCAGGTTCTTTGCTACGCTTTTCCTCCGAGCGCACAGATGTTAGTTCGAGATGCAAGTCAGGAGTAGAAAGCTCACGTTCAGAGACTGTTTTTGCAGACATGGGGTCAGAACGCATGTTGTATTTGCAGCCCCTGCTCACACAAGAGACATAGGTAGTCATAGCGGTGAGTCCGCAATCTCCAGTGCACGATGGAAGGTGAGCTTCCGGCGACTCCAGAGGCCGAGGGCGCTCTAGGCACGCCGCCGGCCCGTGACCGCGACGTTGTCAGGAGTGCTCAGGGCTCTAGCCCAGAAGATGACATGCCGCTGACTCAGCCGACCGGCAACAGTCCAGTCACAGGTAGCGCGCGGTTGAACTTTGAGCTGCGCCTGCGTGAAGTGGCTGCGTCTGACAGTCGACCAGATCCGGTGAGTACGTTGGCAGACCGCCTCCATGGTGTCACAACTCTCGAAGAGCTGTCTGCCATCCTAGAGCCTGCAGACTTGTTTACCAATTGTCAAGACTCCCAAGCTTTGCATAGGACCATCTCGTGCATTTTGACGCAGATAGTGGAGGAGAACCAAGCAGACGTAGGTGAAGTCGGGCAAGATCCCAGGTTTGAGTTGCGGCTGTTGCTCCCAAGCCCGATGTTCCATGCTGTCCGCACAGTCGCAAAGCAACAAGGCTGGTCCGCAGAGGCTTTGTGCCAGGGCCTGATGGCTAACGTTGGGTGGTTGCATAGCGAAGGGGCACGCATCCGCATGTCACCCCAAGAGATGCATCAACGGACCACATGCATCCCAGCTTTTTTCGGAGCCCCGCCGAGTGCCCGTAAGTCAAGCCTTCATCAGTTCCTCACAAGTGAGCTCTTGGGAGGCGACGCCATTCCGGCCCACGCCCAGGCCAGCCAAAGTTTTTGCGGCACTGGTACGTTGCGAGGCCACCGCAACAACCTGTTCAACTTTGGTCGCACAGGCCTATCCAGTAGCGAGGTGACGGAAACATACAAGACCAAGTCTGAGAGTGATGGAGTGCCCGCATCCCAATTTGCTCAGAAAAACCACATCAATAAGTGGTGTCACAGCGAGGCCGATAGATCGATCACCGGAAATCTTCGGGACAACAACATCGTGTACAGTTTCTATCACCTGGTCCACGGACAGGTGCCAGCAACCGTGGAGGTTCTCACTGGTGGCACTGCTGCAGACATTGGTTTTGTGAAGAGGTTCAACGTGGTCTTCACCACGCACATGCCCCAAGACTCTCCCGAGCAGTCAACGCAGGCGAGCTCCAAACTCCTGCACGACTTGATGGCTTGGCTCGCGGCGAGAATGCCGCAGACCGCCAGCACAGAGATTGACATCATTACCTTGAGCCCTTTCGCTCGCCAGTGGGTGCGCGTAGTCCTCGAAGCTGTGAGGGACTTCCTTGACCAGCATGGGGACATTTCGGCCGCATGGACCCAGAAACTCATGTACGCCGACACCGACATTCTCCGGTGGGCAAATTGCGTGAACAAAATGAGGAGCTTCTTGGCTTCGATGTCTCAACTTGATCCCAACCAAGTGGCTGCAAGCGTGGATATCATCGACGTGCAGTACGCGCTGCACTCATGGATCCGACAGCTGGAATTTTTTGCTGCGCTGCAGCGGCATACGAAGTCGTTTCGAAGCTCGCATGGAAGCATGCATGTTGGAGAACTGCGGACCCCAGCAGGGCCGCAGGAGGACGGGCAAGAAGAACAAGAGGTCATGCTGATGAAGTGGATCATCACTGCAACATCAGACACATCAGACACCGTGGTGACCAAGGACCTGAGGAAAATCTTGAAAAACAAACTTAGCCGATTGGGGGGCTGGAAGCGCACCAAGAAACAGCAGGGGGAGGAGTCGCGCCCAGCGAACCCAGAACAAGACACAAAGACCGAGCGCAAACACCATGTCCAGCTGTTGCTTTCAGCTACCAAGCGGCTGAAGCAGGCTGGGTTGATCCAGTGGGCCACGGATGAAGCGCAGCCGAAGGCTGGAGTTGGTGGACACGAAGTTTTGACCTTTCGCAAGAGGCCTTGGTCGGAGATTGTGGGAAATGATGAGGCGACCGGGTGGGTCAGGAAGTTGAAGATTGGCATGGAAAATTTCCCCTGTGTGGACGCATGAAGGGCCGCAGTATGCCATTCACGTCACCAAGGGCGTAGATTATCGCGCTTGCAGAAGGCCAGCGGGCACAACTATGAAAGCCACCATATATGACGTCATAGATGTGTGCATCGTATGCAGATACCTGTTTTCTCATGGGAATGATTCCGGATGGCCCGCAAGCGCAACACCCAGCATCTTTGAGCCTTTGAGGTTCAAATTTTTGAAGTCTGCTGGTGTGCATCTGCGACTGCAGCAGAATATGGAAAAGAAGATAGGACAAATTGCGGTTCGCTTCCAGCATGAGTGTGATTGTGTGACTGGTTTATTATCTATTACAGTAATTTTTCCATGCCGTTGCAGCAGTGCCAGAATATCTTTTTAGCACTGATGGTATTCACTTGCTGATCGTTCGTTAGGCTGCAGCCCCTAGCTCCGGACCAAGGGCGCAGAGACGAGTGCCAGAGTCGATCGACAATCGAGACACCGGATGCAAGCGCAATATTTCAAGCAGAGCTGATACATATATGTTCACCAACTCCAGCTTTCGGCTGCGCTTCAACCGTGGCCCACTGGATCAGCCCAGCCTGTTGAAAGCAACGCGTGGACATGATGTTTGCGTTCGGTCTTTGTGTCTTGTTCCTCGCGGGGCACGACTCGTTTCTTGGTGCGCTGCCTTGGTTTGTTTTGCAAAATGTTCCTCAGGTCCGTGGTCACTATGGTGCAGTGATGATCCACTTCATCGGCGTGACCTCTTGTTCTTCTTGCCCGTCCTCTTGGAGCCCTGTTGGGGTCCGCAGTCCTGCGCCATGCGTGCCTCCATGGACGCGAGCTTCCATGCGATCTCGCAGGTCAGCCAAAATTTGCAGCTGTCGGATCCATGCAAGTGGGATCCATGATGTCCACACTTGCTTGGGATCAAGATCAAGTTGAGACGTCGCCGCATGAGTTTCTGGGTCCGTGCGGCCGACATGTCCCCATGCTGGTCACGGAAGCCCCTCACAGCTTCAAGGACTATAGGCGCCCAAAAGGACTCAAAAATGTCAATCTCTGTGCTGGGCGCCTGTGGCAGGAGTTTATAGGGTCTTGGGGCCTACGCGTGGTGAAGAAAACGTTGAACCTCTTCAGGCAACCAATGTCTGGAGGTGCAGGCTGTCCGTGAGCCATGTGATAAAAATTGTGGACGGTGTTCTCATCCCGAAGATTTCCGGCAATTGACCGATCGGCCTCACTGTGGCACCCCTGATCCGTTTCATGTTTCTGAGCAAATTGGGAGGCAGACGCCCCATCACTCTCAGACTTGGTCTTGTAAGTTTCCGTCACCTCGCTGCTGTGGCCAAAGTTGAAGAGATGATTGCGATGGCCTCTCAGTATTGAGGAGCTGATGAAGGCTTGACTAGCGGGTGCTTGGGGTCCGTTGACCTTGGGGTGACATGCGGATGCGTGGTCCTTTCGCTATGCAACTGTCCACTCCGTTAAGTGGTGCTTGACGACTGCGCGGACAGTACGGAACATCAGGCTTGGGGACAAAAGCTGCAACTCAAAACTAGGGTCTCGACCGGCTTTAGCTACGTCTGCTTGGTTCTCCTCCAGTATCTACAACAAAACGCGCGAGATGGTCCTACGCAAAGCTAGGGGGTCTGCAACTGGCCAAGATATATAGGTGTGGTGACGTGACAGCTCCCGTGCCGCAGCTTTCTAACTTGGCAGGTCGGAGCGCTGCAGCAAGCCAGATGCAGCGTCGGTCCGACGCGTATCAGGCTGGGTAGGAAATTGCAAGAAGAGAATAGCAGTGTAGTATGTTTCTAGCACAGGGCAATGTCACTGCCTCAGACTTTGTTAGTTCACTTGCAGATCGTTCCTTAAGCTGCAGCTTCTAGCTCGGTATCAAAGGCGCAGAGAGAAGCACCATAGCAATGAACTGAGCCAAATCGACATGTTTCTGGATTTCGAGTCACCAAATTAGGCAAACGCCATTTTTCAAACGGAGCTGAGACGTAGGTGTGGTGACACGGCAGCTCGCATGTCGCAGCCGGACCGCGCGTTGCTTGTGCAGCCGGTATGGGCGCAGCGACTCTTGCAGGGCGAGGTGAATTGCCTGGTGAAGCCGCATAGCACCAGCGTCAGAGGCTTGGTGTTCCTTGCCGAGGCACGGACAGGGCGAGTGGTGGGCACAGCGCGCCTGACATCAGCTCGTCAGTTGACGCCTGAGCAGATGGCCTCGGAGCCAATTCGACAAGAGGTCATGGAAAGTGGTTTCAAGTCAGCCCATGCATGGTTTCTCGAAAACGTTAGCGGCCTTGATGCCACCTGGGTGATACCTGCGGAAGCCCGGAAAGGATGTGCTCAATGGATACCTCGCTAACGTTGGGAGCCTGCAGCGCCACTGGCTTTGCCGAATCGAACAGTGCGGCCTGCTGCCAGGGCTTGGCCGAAGCGGCTGCCCAGGAAACGGCCATGTGGGTGGACAGAACCAGAACTTCGACCTCGCAGGCATTTCCCCAGGCAACGGTCAAAGCCCAAAAGCAGCAGACAGAGACAAGCTAACCGGTGCCATGCCAATGAGCCAGCAGCTACGCTGGAACAGCCCTTGCAACGGAATGGCTCGGTCATGCCCTTGTCACACCGTTTGGCTGCTGGCAGGACCAGGGATCGACAGCTGCACTTGGCACAGATGCACCTTTTTCATGAGCCTTGCAGACTGCATGAGCCCCAGCGGCCGCAAAGCGGTCTCTTTGCAGAACACGAAGGGAAGCCTGTCTACGTGGTAGGCACATACCTAGACACCAGAAAGAAAAGACTCATGACTGATGTTCTGCCCCTTAGTCAAGGCGAGGATAGCGCTTCATACTCAGCTTTCCGGAAGCAAATTTTCAGCTGTCCGCAGCAGACCCTGCGCAGAGTGGGCCAGGAGGTGTTGGTGCTGGAAAAAAGGAACCTCAGGAAGGGAAGGCTGCTGTTTCGTGTGGAGTCCAGGGTTCATGCCCCCGCGGATGCAAGCGAGCAAGTGGACTCTGAAGGCAGGGCCCCCTGTCTTGATGGCATGCAGGGCTCCTGATGTTTTCCAAAATTATGTGGTACCATGCGTTCCTGTGTTTTGTGTGTCTGGGCTCCCCTTTTGTCGCAGGTTCACGTCAAGGACGCGAGCTGGAGGAGACCGGGCAGTGTGCACCTATACCTCCCTTGGTGGACCCCTGTCAAGCCTCGGAGTGCGAAGCACAAGAAACGGTGCATTTTGCAGGTGTGCAGCCTGCCACGCGGGTCAAGCCTTTGCTCGCAATTCAGCATGGCCCTTGTGGAAAGCATGGCCAGAGGAAAGGCATCGTGGTGCTGCGGAGAAAATGCCACGCGAGCAGGTACATTCTAGATTTGCCGGTGCCCATAGTTTTGGATACTCGGCCATGGCGTTGCCTTGCATGCGGGCTCTACTTTCCTGTCAAGGTCAATGATATACAGAATCGTTTTCCGGGCACTTTGGTTGCTAAGTGCGCGAAGCAAGCCCATGTTTTCTTCACGAAGAGATTCCTGCAACTTATCATTGGCAAATTCGGGGAGACCTTCAACGCCGCCGCGGTCAAACGGTTCATATTAGACCTCTACCTGGCCAATACCATCTACATCAATCACGCGGAGAGGGCTCTATGGGCCATCGATTCCATTCCACGCCTGTCCTCCTTGCGCTTCACGCTGCGGGAAGCCTTGCTATCTTACTTGCCTGGACTAATCCGACATATTGAAGAACATGTCCATGTGTACAGTGGCTCAGCAATACGGGGAGATGGTCACTACAAAGTGGCTGCACGTATTCGCGTCGCTGACGGAACACCTCCCAGTGTCATATATGCGTGGTGTGGTGTTGATGGGGCTCTGCTCCGCCCGCCTGCTGCCCTGGCAAGCGAGACATGGCCTGTCTTGAAGGAGGACCTGGCCAAATTGATCCCTGATTTGGCGCGCAACAGGAAGCGGGCTGGCCTGCCGGGACAGGCGGTATACCCAGCTTTCCACGCGACAGACACCTATGGAAAACATCGACTCAAATTGCAGTCCTTCTACACCAGCTTGGCAGAGCCGCAGCTGTCGGTGTCCGCCAAGACACCCCAGGCAGAGGCGCAGTCAGCAGAGCCAGCAGAGAAGTACTGCCCTACCTTGCAGCTCGCCCACAATTGAGCAAGTGTGGTCTTGTTACTCAGTCCCTTGTATGTTGCGTGTGTTCTTGTGCTTCCTGGGCGTGTGACCGCAATTAACTCGCAGACTTTGTGTCTCTTCAAGTAAACAATCTGTTCATATAAGACGCAGATTTCTGCGCAGGATCACAGGTGATCCTGCACACGATTGCTTCGCCTTGCGACGTTTGGTGAGTACAAAATCAACTGATGCCCATGCTTTCCTGAGCGCTCACCGAGACTTGATGGAGAGGTTGAGTTTGCCAAGTCCCCCGCATGCGTCCTATGCCAGTGACAAAAGCTCCATGTGCGAATTGCCGGAGGACATGTTAGCAATGTGGTAACTTTCACGAACCATCTAATATATAGCACATCCATGCCAACGCTTCAATGTAATGATGTTTGGATGTGCCCTGCAGGAAGCCAGGTCAGCATTGCAGCTCCTCATTTCAGATGGTGCGAAGGGTAAGGAGAAATGCGGGCAGAGCACTCTCCAGCAAGTCCACGCCTTTTTGCAGCAACCTTATGTCACAGAAGCGACTACGTGGCAGGAACTGTATGGCCGACAGCCTCCCCGATGTGTCGTCTCTACCCTGCTGCGGGTCCTCGGCAAACAGGATGACCTTCATCCAACCTTACAGAGATGGAACTACAGAAGTAAGAAAGAATTTCGTGTTGAGAGCCGACGCATTTTGCGATGGTGGTCTCGCTGTGTGCGCCACAAGGCTACTTTTAGGAAGCGCATCCTACGAGATCGGCAGAAGGCATTTTGGACGCGCAAAGTATGCGCTGTCAACACCAAAGTTCGGGGTCACTTCAAGCGCATGAGGAAACCATTGCGGGTCGAAGGGTTTTTTGCTTGGAAGCAAGCTGCTGAGGCGACCCGGGCAGCCGCCATCCCAGTCCAGTCTGGGACAATTCCAGTTGAGAGGTACTGGGCTTGCCTGTTGACCTATCTCCCCACATCGTCCCAGTACATTTCTTACAAGTGGTACTCAGTGTTAGCTGGTTTGGCCTTTGTGAAGTACAATTACCATCACTTTGCAGGTAAAGCGCTGTCAGGGATAGCGGAGAGAGACGTAGACGTGCAGAGCAAAATTGAGACAGCGACGATGCTTGCCCGAGTCCTGCACAGTGCTGAGGAGAGCCGGTGCAAGCATTTGAACGCTCTGTTCGATCCTTTCCGGGACGATGAGCATTGCTGATGATGCAGCGGTAACCTCAAATGAGGTTTCCCGGAACGGAGATGACTTTGCTTTGACCAAAAGCTAGATTTGCCTTAATATGAGCAAGGGGAGCTGGATGGCACGTCGATTCCGTTGGTCAACTTGTTTTTGTCGAGAAGAAGCTTCCTCGCCCGGACGCTTTTGTCTAACCGAATGCTTTTAAATTGTTTTCAGATGATGTGACAGGAATCTGCTTTCTTAATGGCTCCAGGCCTTGCCGAGGGATGCTTGCGCCCATAAGGTCGCCAGCTCAGTTTTGCTACCAGAATTGCTCTAGGTAGCTCAGATGCCCGTGTAAGCCATTTGATAATTTTGCTCTGACGTCGAGCAATTCATTCATGTTCCAGTCGTGGGGTGATGGGTGTTGAACCCGGGGCCCGATTTCATTTAGTGTTGGTGGTGGTTGAGATCCTAGGTGGAGGGTTAATAATTAGCCCAAACATGGGAGAGGAGTGCTCTTGCTTTGGGAGTCAAGATCTTCTTGCCTCAAACATCAGGCTACAGACACGTTGCGGAGAAACAATTTATGCCCAGGCCGTGGTGTCTTGACCCTGGGAGAGTTGGAAAGAGGGATGGCTTTGGCGAACGGCGCCGAACGGTGCGAACACGAGTGGGTGAGGGTTTCGAAAGAGCTTTCTCTTAGGGCCGACGTCTCGTCGAGGCGGCTCATGGAATCGCTACTAGGAGCATTCTTACTAGTAACAAGAAGCTAGTACAAGAAGCTACTAGTAGCGTTGCAAGAAGCTACTGGAGGCATTCATGCCTTCTAGAGTGAGCGTTGTGACACTGATCTGTTGACACAGCGCTCTGAGGAAGCACTTCAACACCGAGGAGGAGTTCCGCGCATTCTTCGGGAATGCGGATGCCAGCCAGAGCTGCTTGGCAGAGGCGCGGGAGATTCGTGGCATCCACAGGGCAGGACAGTTGTCTAAGAGCACGCCCCTGTGCCGTCGATCCGCTGGTGGAGTTGACCACGAGCTTTGGGGAAGCAGATCAGTTTTTGGTCACTTGACCATCCCTCACAATGTGATCTCATATATGGATTGTCTTTGTTGAGATCAATCCTGGCCAAAGCAACCTGTTTTCATGCAACTTCTTAAGTTGTCACTACTAACTCTTGGCTGCTTTGCACCCTTGTTTCAGCCGCTCCTGGCTCGTGCCCAAGTGGCACCCACTGACCTCTGCTTTCCGGTTGCGCCCGAGCAGTTCGACCGGAACCACCGACCCCGGTACGTCGCCAGGCGGTGGCGCAAATCTCGAGCGCGATCGCGTGAGGCAAGGCGCTCCAGGCGCCTTGGCAGTTGAGGCTGGGATGGTGGAGGGTGTCGATTTCGAGAGCTGCCGGATGAAGTTTTTTGGCTGTTTGGATGTTGTTGGCGGTGTTGGAGGTCGGGATGGGGGCGAAGTGATATTGTTTTTTTTCATGAGTTTTCAAGTTTTTTCCATACAATTTCCTAGATTTGATCTGCCTCGATCCGCGCCGACGGCGCGTGCTGCTAGAACTGTGCAGAACACTCAAGCAGAACACTTGCAAAATCGATGGAAATGCCTGCTTGCACATGTCCAAACTGTCCGGATTTTCACGCTTTTAATCAACTCGAGCACCCCAATGGCCGAAACGTTCCCGATGGCTTTCGCAATAAGTGAGGACATGCTCAGACTCGTTTCTCTTCACAAACTCGTTTCTCTTTGCGCGAAGGGACGGTGGTTATACAAACATACTTTGCTGGTTGACATCCCCCCAAATAGACTAACTATTTTTCCTGGTCCTGAGGGTTTCAAATCCTTTGAAACCAGACCGGGTCAAAAGCTGGTGACAGGAAGTTCAGACCGTGTTTTTCTTTGGGAGGTTGGCCGGGTGAAGGTATTCTTTTCGGCAGATGAGGTCCCATCCAGGGTCCTCACGCATTACGTTGAGTATCGCACTTCCTTGACCATGAGGTAAGAAGGACATTAATGGACTTTGCCTTCTGCCACGAGCGGCCGATGTGGGCTGGTCCTTGCGGCCGATGGCAGACTTGCTGAACGTCAAGGCCTTTTCCGTTTTCACGAAGGCATCGGAACCATGTAAAAGCAAAGGAGTTTGTTCTGAGGGACGCGAAAGGATACCCACATTGTATCCCAGGCATCCCAAAGAAGATCCGCACAGTGGTGACAGGTTGAATCAGAAGATGATCTCATGCTTCTTTTTCCTCCCGCAGACGTATCCTTGGCATGGAAGGCTACCTTATATAACTATACAGGTATGTAATCCAGGGATACCCGTGAGTTGCTGGATTAGTTTGCTTGGTATATATATATAGTGTTTTTGGATCAATCATTATGTGCTGAGGTATGTAGGGGGTTCGAGGCGACCCTGTGGATAAGTTAATTTTTTGACCTTTAAGTTATCGATAGATGTTCAATCAATAAATGTTTCCAATGTGTTTTTTGAATCTGGAGAACTATTCCGTGATGTCAGCCTCCTTTCTCAAAACAAGTGGAGGTTTCCAGAGGGGTATGTACGATCTACGGGACCTGCCATTCCTTCGCATTCTTGAGAGGAGCACTGTAGGGTGAAGGTAAGTGTGTAATCTTTGCAGCACCATGTCGCCCCGGTGTTGGAACTCCCTTTTTCGCGCCTGAAGAGCACCCGCAACACCAACAGTGTCAACACCAGGAGGCTCCGGCCTGGTCGTTGCAGAATGCCCTGGTGCTTCTGGCCAAGCATCGGCCTGGCCGACGGTGTCCTGGCCTTCCGTGGCTTGGAGAAAGGCGTCACGGCATCGCTCGCCGGACGGATGGGTGGTTCGGGGCGGAACATTTTCTGCCCAGCCGGGACGAGCGAGACACATGGTCATCATGGTCAAGGTCTACAGAAATCTCAGAAATCTTTTTCTAATCCATGCAAGAGCGGGATGGTTCTCCGCCGAGGCTGGCGAAGGATGGGGAGGAAAAGGGACGAACGAATCATGAACGGAGGTGCTGGCCAATCATGATTCGATCCCTCCTTTTTGAAAATGCTGTATATGGTGGTTATGTCAGAAATGCTTGTTTATCCGTAGGCATCTCCAGCATTTCCAATCTTGCGGGCAGCCTAAAAGAAGGGGTAACGAATCATGAACGGAGGTGCTGGCGAATCATGATTCGATCTCTGCTTTGTGAGGGTGTATTAATCCTATCCACCCATTAAAAAACATGCCAGGCCTCCTCTAATAAGGAAACTTCGGTCGCATTTTTTGAAAAAATCGGGGTTCCCTGCCATCGGGGGAGTCCAAAATAGGGTCACCTGGGAAGAGCTTCAAAACCCAAAAGTCACTCAGAAAAGTTTTATATAAAATCCTTCTATTAAACTCATATCAAAAATTCAAAAAACATCAGATCGAAAGGTCTTCCTTTTCCCCTACAAACGATTAGAATAGTGATTCTACATTAAACTAACAATTAAAGCTTTCCTCGGTGGCACGTGCGTTCGCCTGAGTCCATGCTATTGTGAGAAGAAAAACCTGCTGGTGTAAACACGGCCTGTCATGGTGGATATAGACAGGGCGGACAGAGGTGAGCGAGGTGGGTAGTTGCGGTTGTTCTTGGAACCTAATTTAAACAAAAAATCATCCAGGGTTTCTGATATGATTTCAATAGGGGTCCGATTTTAAATAGGTATAGGTACTCGGGATTATATGGTGATCGTGTCACAGTGCCTGACGCTTGCATGCAAGCGTGGAGAGACGTGCTCGCAGATGCTGGTGTGGTGTATGGTCAGCAATGCGTTCCCGTCAAGGGACAGGACAGAATATTCAAGGTCTCTTTCAACTGCTGTTGACCACTCCAGGTCTCAAGACACAGACACAGTTCCAGCAGAACACGCTGGAACTTCTTGCGCAATCTTGTGACCGCTCACGTTGCCATGCCCCGGCAACTGCATTTTCGAGCGCCCTCGCAAGAGGAACTCGTGCAGCTGCGCGACTTGCATGATCGTGGATACTACGAGGCTGCCTTTCGAGCATTCATGGACCCCACGGGTCGTCGATCTTCCAACCGGACGTTGCCACTGGAAACTCAACAGGCAGGCTTCTTGGCAGGCTACATGCTGCTTCGCGAGGCGCTCGATGAGCAGAGGCAAGTCGGCTCCCCGTTGACACACTTGAAGCTCACGTGGACTAACAGTACGGAGCTCGACAACTTAGACCACATTGACCGGTGCTTCATCCAAGAGCTTTTCAAGTGGTTGTTCACACTCCCCCTCGGCCAGATGCAGCTCGCCGTGTGCGAGGTCCCGCGTGACCTTCATCAAGATTCCAAAGATCTGGTGGCCAAGCGTGCTTGTAGGTTGCCAGCAATCGCAGCTGGAATGCAGCTCCACCCGGTGGAAGACAAGTGCTGTGACTCAGCGCTGGGGGAACTGCTGGTGAAGCGCGGTGGAGTTCGTGCCTGGCTTCGGCTGGCCACACTGGCTGGGCGGATCCGAACGGTGCAGGTCGTGCAGTGGGCGCTAGACCACGAGAACTTTCTCCGTAACTGCCAGGAGATCGAGGACTTCACTCAACGCTGCCCGACAGTTGAGATGGTTGGAGAGGTGACCACCGAGTTGAGTTTGTTGAAGCCGAGCAAGCAACCAACAAGTCTTCAACTCGTACTTGTGTATGATCTTCTCTGAGCCTGAGTGGCGGCGCTTGGAAGAAGCAGTCCTCATGGGGCTCCATGACCCTGGGACCGTCGTCCAGATCAGTCCTCTGGCCAATGGACTTGCCAGCCTGCATCTCATTGGTGAGTTTGCCCTGAACAACATTCTTCAGTTCTGGCACCGGCTGGCCGGCCCACAACTTCTGGCCTTGAAAGATGCCTTGGACTCTTTTGCCACGAACATGGATGACGACCACACAGCGCCAGAACTCCCCTACCAGACACGATGCTGGATGTCCACCAATACAATTCAGTTCACAACCATGAGCTTCAGCTCTGGTGCGGTCGCGGTGACTAAGCAGTCCCGGCAACACTTC